GACAATCAGTTGTATGGGAGCTAGATTTTAGAGTGAACCGATTTCGATGATTTTATGAGATAGTGAAGGAAATATTAAAATACAAGCGTGTGCAAAATTTTAGTAAAATATCTTCAAAACTGAGAGTTTTTTTTATAAAATAGTTCAAATATAAGCAAAGTTTCAAGTACTGCTATCTCCAAAAGTGGAGACAATCGGGCAAAACTGGGATCCAATTAAGTAAGAGCAACTATCAGAACTTTTGTCGAAAAAAATTTGATTTGATACCACGCTCGAAATATTCTGACTACAAGAAGGAGCATAATTAAAAGTACTAAATCGGGATCTTTAAACACTTCTAGAGAACATTTTTTTGAAGCATTTTACAGGTATATGCAACGTTATAAGGACTAGCAGTTATAGAAAGATTTAGATCGTTTCGGCGTATTTTACGAATGTGCCTTCAATAAAGGTGTTTTTGGAATAAAAATTACGCTCAAGATCGCAGAATATTTTATCTTTAAAAGTTAGTTTATTCTGAAAGCACACCTCTTGCTAAGGTATCAAATTATTCGTAATTGTTTGTAGAATACAACACATACTTAAGAACATGGTGGAATAATAACAAGGTGTTGTTAGTAGCGACGTGTTTGTTGTAATTTTGACAAAATCGGCATGCTTATTTTCAGTGCTGCCGATCTTAATTTTTATACTACTATTAGTTGCGAAATAGTATCTAAAATATTCCATTTTAGTAACTCGTTTTATAGCGAATTTAAATAACTTGGTGTTTTCAGAACGATATTAATATTTAAAATTGATGGATTTGTATAATTTTTGTCCTCCAAATGTAAAAAAATAAAAGATATCGTGGTTATCAATGGAAAAAGACGTACAGAAAAATCGTATGGAACGGCGATTTTTTATATCAAATAGTCATAACATTGAACCAAATGGACTACTGATACACTAGAATAGAGTGGCTGCATGGTTAAATTAGGAATTCGCTTATATTATCGACATTTATGTGTTTTAGTCTATTTAAAAAATAATTTACAGTCTTATAGGAAATTGCCTTATATTACAGCCTTTACTTTCTTAAAGCTACTATATATGTCCAAGCTGTGTGGAGCTGCCGATACAAACATATATTCAGGCTTATACGCCTGTAATTATACATTTTTCTACATTTAATTTGAAATAGTTTGCATCAACGGATTAAAAGTAGTAAATAATTAGTACCTTTTCTACTACTTTAAAATGCGTGACCGGAATAGACCTGCCGAAAAAGTGAGGTTAAGTTACTGACAACACCTTGTTATTATTCCACCATGACTTAAGAAGTTCTTAAAATAAAATGCTTCAAAAACTATAAGCGATAAATCGAAAATTTTGAAAATTGTGAAATGTGGAGTTACAGACTTTGACTTACTTGCCATTTCGTTATTTTGTAATGTACACTTTTCTTACCTACTACATATCGATGGCTGAGTGGAAGATCGACCTATCTCGGCAGCCAGTTCGAAAACGCTCTATCTCAAAAAACTTTTCAAGAACGCCCTATTTCAGAATTTAATTGAAAAACACCCTATCTTAAAATTCGGTTAAAAAACGCCCTATGTCACTTCAAAATGTATTGAAAATATGCTGATANATATGAAGTATACACATAAGTGCTGCCCATTAAATTTCAAGTCAGAATAAGGTGGGCTTCAAAAGTTATGACATAATTAATTTTTCCCCTCTTAAAAATTACATAAAAAATTCACTTGTTTTCATTATTTTTTTAAATTTAAACACCTATAATTCAAAACTTATGATCCAAATTTTTTTTGAGGCTTCAAGTATACGTCAGTGAATTATATCCAAAAGCAACCAGCTTGATATAGTTTCCAACAGTGAAAATAAAGCTAAATAACACCAAGGTTACCTGTTTTTTAGATTTGCCCATATGCTTTTTCGAGCTGAACTATCTAATACGTAATAAGGAATACAAAATTTCTTCTCTGAAATCCAAGTTATACAATCCTGTATAAAAACAAATAACTTTTCCGTCTGCAACCCGGATTTATCGATTATTTTTGGTAAATAGAGAAGAAACGTCAGAAACAAAAGATAAACAGCAATGAACGCCGCTAAGAAAACCCGTATGATTGATTTCTTTTTATTTTAAAATGTGAAAATCGATCTAATATGCATGGTTAAATATCGTTTCGCTTCCCGAATCGCCCGGTAAGGCTTCATTGTTGCAATATTTTGTGATGCTTGTTTCAAAAGTCGTTTTCTTTTCTGACTTCAATAAATCTAAAAACTGGGTATATGGGGAACTAAATAGTTCGGAAATATAAATCAGCTAGCATGGAGAAACCTGCTGAATCATACGAAAAAGGCCGAATTCTAGTGAAAGCTTCTATTGAAGAGCGAGACCAGGATATTTGGCAATGCTTTGGGGAAATCGCCAACGGCTCTGACATTGATTACAGTTTTTGTAGTGATGTGGATAGCCAAACGATGGAAAAATGGAGAAATATTTACAGCTACCCCCTATACCCAGACAAGAAGATCATTTAATTTGGTGGAATCTCGACTCCTGCGCCCCTCGGCAGACAATGACAAACGTCCGAGTGTATGTATTTCTGCCTTGAAAACAGCTTCTCATAAAAATACAATCACCTTTCGGAGTCGGTTTAAAACTGCAGGTACCTCCCCTTATGTGATAACATCAATGCGCACGCCACAAATCGGAGGAGAAGCCCGGCCAAACATTAACAAATGTGTAAGCACCAATCTATTATAATTATAGTCGCAATGAATTTCCAAATTTGTTTACACTGGCAATGTAGTATCTCCGCGAACCTCTTTCCTCAATGAACTCATAAAGAATGTTTAGTGCATCGGGTAGCATTTATGTTGAAAATAGAAAAGGGTTCTTGATCGGCAATGCGGAAATAATTCTTTTCACATTGAAAAATATGTACATGTACATACTATTAAATTTGATTATAACATTAAAAAAAACTGAACTAGATTTTTAAATAGAATCTTCTTTTAGCCAGTATCCGGCCGGATGTCGGATAACAGAAAAAAGGCCGAATAAGCCGTATTCCGGATGTCTACCTATCATCCTTAGCTTCCGAAATATATTTTATTAAAAGGTGCTGCAAGGCTGTGTCAAATGCGCATGCAAAGTGGCAATAAGCGATAAAACAATAACTATCGATAGTATTGAAAACTTTCAGACCACTAGTATGTATATCGCACAGGTCCCGCAACAGTATTTTTCTGTAACGTAACAGTCCGATTATTTTTTGCAAATATTGACCTCAAAATTAATTTTATCAGTTCAATAAATACGTAGTTCTTGATTTATATAAGGAGAGCAGACTTTTTTGATAATGTAAATCAGCTTAAAAAAGTACTTCCAAAAATTGTAATGTAACACTCTGCTGTTGAAACATTTATAACTCCTAAACAACAGGAGGTACAACATATATTAGGTGTATGTTAAATATTGCCACATATGCTTTCACATGCAAAAAGAAAAACTATCCGAAAGTTGTATTCTAGCAAGTTTCAGTGGTATTTGAAAAGCACTATGAGCCAAAACGTATTGTAACAGTACGCGTTTTGGGCCATATGATAATTTTCTTTAATTTATAGAGTCGAAACAATCAGTAGGAATCGGAATATATTTTAATATTTATAATAAAATCCTACAACGAAGGAGCAATTACATTGTACAAAAAAAAAAAAACAAGTTATGGTTCTGATATTTCGGGCCCCTTAAGAGGCCCAGCCCCGTGGGGATTCACCCCTTTCCTGCCTTCCTCTCGACGGGCCTGTCTATAAGTCACTCATCATGCCCGTGCTGGTATATGGCGCAGAAGCATGGACAATGACAACATCCGATGAGGCGGCACTTGGAGGATTGAAGAGAAAGATTTTTCGGAAGATTTACGGGCATTTACGCGTTGGTGGCGGCGAGTACCGCAGATGGTGGACGCAACGCTTTTTCGGCAATTAGGGTGTTGTGCAGCAATTTAATGTGGTTAAAATTATTTTAGCACTTTAGAAATGGATAGAAAAATATTGCAGTCCACTCCAACATCTCATGTTTAACTGAAATATAATTCGTCACTAGACACGAATAAAGGCGCGAACTCAAAAGTTGACCGCGAAAAAAGACGCATAAAAAACTTCCGCGAAGAAAGGCGAATTCATACAAGGTGGTGTTGTAAAATCAGCTGATATATTTGCCTGAAATGTATTTTGTTTTTGCTTTTACTGATTTGACAGCACAGCCATCAAAGCAAAAACAAAATTCATGTCAACGTTGGGGCGAATTGAGATTTGACACAACATCCGCAATACAAAATACATATGGTTCTTGACCATGATGCAATAATGAAAGGTGTTGTACGTTGTGACAGCTCGAAATCGAACTACCTTAGGTCAATATTGTATTTTGGAAGTACAAGAAAAACGGGAAGAAAAAAAGCCCTTTAGTTGAAAAAGTACTAAATTGTATGCCTTCTCAACAGCGTTCCGATTATCTGAATAGGTATACATATGGCTTGGTAGTCTCATAAAGTTGTAGATAATTAAAATAATATAATAAGGCGTGTTTTTATTCACAGGAATATGATAATATGCTTAAAATTTTTGAGCTGATGAATACCCAGCTAGAACAGTATGGCATATATAACTCCTTATATAAGCCGCATCACTAAGAAAATTATCCCTTGTGAATTTGAAATGTTTCCCTTATATTGTACAGGCCAAATAGATGAATTAATTTACGTGTGATCTTTTGTCCCCCGCTTTCATATGGGCTTCTTGTGCGCATATATCAGGTTTCATAGCTGTTGACCATACCAATAATGCCTCATGCTCAGTTTTACTAGATCAATTCGTGTTCTCGAGAAAAAAAATGTCACGATTCAAAACTCTGAGTATAGCGGCCAAATTCTTTTCTAAAAATTTTGAAAATTCTTCGTTTTTTGGCCTATATTTNAATAAATGGTTCATTAGGTTTTGAAATAACAAAGAGCTGGTTCCAACTTACTTCAAAATATCTGCAGGATGATGCACACAATCAAATTCGGCCGCAGCTGCAGTTCACCAGAGAATGCTGCAAATGGAATGGTTCATCAATGAAGTCAAAATAATATGTTGTAACTTACGTGTATTAGCTCTTAATTACAATACCAGCACAGGTCGGCCAGGAAAACACTAAGGAAATTACCTAATAAATGCAAAATTATAATTAATTTGTAAAATAATTCGGTTTTATTACAATACTTACCAAATTTCAAGCAATTAGAAAACAAATGTCAGCGAATAAGAACAAAACGAACAACGAAAATGGAATCAATGTAGCTTGTTTAGAATTTTTTTCTAATATTTTGGGAAATGTTCAGTGAAATTAGCAAAGAAACAACACAGTTTCTCCTAACGTAGTTCAAGATGGCGGATTAGAGCGAGAAGTTGCCTACGTATAACACCTTTCATTATTGCATCATGGTTCTTGTTGTTGTAATCTAAATTCGCCAAGTACACCACATTGTATAGCAGGGATAGAAAAGTGGTCCAGGTGGACCCCCAGGGGTCACGGAAGACTCGACGGGGTCCACGGTGACGTGAACAAAATATGGGGGTCCATGAGATGTAAATGGGGTCCACGAAAATGTATCTTATTTCGATGTAAAGAACCAAATTGGTTGCTTGTTAACCTCTTTATTTAACTTTAATTTTTTGAGTGTTGTATAGTGCTCTTGGCGCACTGCTGCACTTACCGTCACTTTGTGTTTTCACGTAGGGAAGCCTTAAAGGCCACCTGCAGACTAAAAAGAACCGGATGCTGGTATGAAAATAAGTGGGGCGGAGATTTAAACACTTGTGTATTTTCAATGCTACAGGATAGTACGCCACCATTACCTTTACCTGAGAATTGCAATACCCAAAGCCATGGACTAAGTGGTGGAACATAGGTGGAGGGAAAGGAGTTTACGTTACTGCAGTGACAACCAAGCTGCACTTAAGGCATTGACCAGCCCTCTACTAAGTTCTTTCAAACTAGTTCGGCACTGCAAGTCTCAACTAAAATATGATGGTGAACATAACGAGGTTGTTTTACTCTGGGTGCCAGGTCACTATGGAGTACCTGGTTATGAGACATCTGATCCTTTGACCAGAGTTGGCTCAGACTAGGCATTCCTCAGTTCGCAACCAGTTTAAGCAGTCCCACCTTCGGTAATAGAAGCCACCATCAGAAACTGGGTGAATACTTCGCTCAGAAATGACTGAGAGGCATCGAGGGGATGCAGGTGGGCAAAACTCATGTTGCCTTCAATCTCACAAGGTATATCTAATTTTTTGCTCTAACTGAGCAGACGACACTGCAGACAACTTGCTGGACTGCTGACTGATCACTTCACGTGGCACAAACACGTAACTGTGATAGGCGTAAAAGACATCCTGCCTTGAAGAGAATGAAACGGTGGAACACTTTTTGCGCTTGCTTGGTTGTTTGTCATCGATTTTTCTAGGCTCGTTCTTTTCTCTATTGTAAGTTTCTGAATTCAAAGTTTGGCGTAAAAAGCTTTGCCGTTTTGATGTTTTAAGTCTTGTGTTTTAAAAATGTGATAAATATTTTTCGGCTCACTTTAAAACTCGGAGCGATAAAAATAAAAAAGATTCCATTAACACAAATAAACTATTTTACATATGCTCCACGTACAAAGTCATGAAAGGGCCGATNGTGGAACATAGGTGGAGGGAAAGGAGTTTACGTTACTGCAGTGACAACCAAGCTGCACTTAAGGCATTGACCAGCCCTCTACTAAGTTCTTTCAAACTAGTTCGGCACNGTTGCTTGTTAACCTCTTTATTTAACTTTAATTTTTTGAGTGTTGTATAGTGCTCTTGGCGCACTGCTGCACTTACCGTCACTTTGTGTTTTCACGTAGGGAAGCCTTAAAGGCCACCTGCAGACTAAAAAGAACCGGATGCTGGTATGAAAATAAGTGGGGCGCGGCGAAAATTTGCTAGCGGCAGAGATTTAAACACTTGTGTATTTTCAATGCTACAGGATAGTACGCCACCATTACCTTTACCTGAGAATTGCAATACCCAAAGCCATGGACTAAGTGGTGGAACATAGGTGGAGGGAAAGGAGTTTACGTTACTGCAGTGACAACCAAGCTGCACTTAAGGCATTGACCAGCCCTCTACTAAGTTCTTTCAAACTAGTTCGGCACTGCAAGTCTCAACTAAAATATGATGGTGAACATAACGAGGTTGTTTTACTCTGGGTGCCAGGTCACTATGGAGTACCTGGTTATGAGACATCTGATCCTTTGACCAGAGTTGGCTCAGACTAGGCATTCCTCAGTTCGCAACCAGTTTAAGCAGTCCCACCTTCGGTAATAGAAGCCACCATCAGAAACTGGGTGAATACTTCGCTCAGAAATGACTGAGAGGCATCGAGGGGATGCAGGTGGGCAAAACTCATGTTGCCTTCAATCTCACAAGGTATATCTAATTTTTTGCTCTAACTGAGCAGACGACACTGCAGACAACTTGCTGGACTGCTGACTGATCACTTCACGTGGCACAAACACGTAACTGTGATAGGCGTAAAAGACATCCTGCCTTGAAGAGAATGAAACGGTGGAACACTTTTTGCGCTTGCTTGGTTGTTTGTCATCGATTTTTCTAGGCTCGTTCTTTTCTCTATTGTAAGTTTCTGAATTCAAAGTTTGGCGTAAAAAGCTTTGCCGTTTTGATGTTTTAAGTCTTGTGTTTTAAAAATGTGATAAATATTTTTCGGCTCACTTTAAAACTCGGAGCGATAAAAATAAAAAAGATTCCATTAACACAAATAAACTATTTTACATATGCTCCACGTACAAAGTCATGAAAGGGCCGATCATTTGATGAGTTTATGATGAAGATAATGTAAATAACGCTAGCGCTCGCAGTGGTCTTAAAAAATATTACTCTTCTGAGCGAGAGAGAATTTTAATGTATTTACGGGCTCTATTTTTAAAACATACAAGTGTGTAATCACATTATTTTTATAAATAGAACACAAGAAAATATTTGAATTTTATTTTGGCCACTCTGAGTTTAGTTTTTAAATTCCCCCGCGATGCAAACTTACATTGTTAGATCTAATTTTCACATTTAATTTTTTTTACGAGCTTTGGGAATATTTAGAAATTTATCAGTAGGGGATCCACAAACCAGTAAATTTTTGAAAGGGGTCTATAAGAAAAAAAAGTTTTCTGTTGTATAGCCTCGCCTTGAAAGACTCGTAACATAATTGACGGCGAAGGAAGACGCGTAATCTTATTTTCGCAGTCAACTATGTTTTCGGTCGTAACAGAATGTAACAGTGCTGCCGCTGTCATTTCAATTGAAGTTTTTCACTTTGCAAGCCTTCACTTCGTCACTCCATTTTAGTCGTTTTACTTCACTTTCCACAATTTTGATTTATCTCCAAAATAAATAAAAATTTCTTTGAAATATATGATTTATTTAACCAAAATCAGCTATCTTTTGCTAAAATTCTTGTTAAATAGTAAGTATGGCAAAGTAACTTTTCGCGAAAAGCTACTAAAAATACGCGTAATAAATCTTCGGTCTGGCATCGGTTATTTGGAAGAAGTCATTTTGATTTTCATTTTCACATGTATAGTTATATAATTATTTACTAAGTATTTGTTGAAAATAACAATTATATTTTAGTTTTCATACATCTTAAATTTTACAAAAAAATTAAACATTTAAGTGAATCTCGTGATGACGCTGTTGCTGTGTATCTAGTGATGACTTTGTTGAACTGATAATCGATTAATTCTAGTTTAGAGCTAATATCATCANTTATTTGGAAGAAGTCATTTTGATTTTCATTTTCACATGTATAGTTATATAATTATTTACTAAGTATTTGTTGAAAATAACAATTATATTTTAGTTTTCATACATCTTAAATTTTACAAAAAAATTAAACATTTAAGTGAATCTCGTGATGACGCTGTTGCTGTGTATCTAGTGATGACTTTGTTGAACTGATAATCGATTAATTCTAGTTTAGAGCTAATATCATCAGTGAACTGTTGTAATTTTTGAGTTTCTTCCCTCAACGTTCGATATTCCAGCACAAAATTTTCACAGCAACACAATAAATTATAAATTAATAAAGGTTAAAGATTACTTTTATTGTGATACAAAAATAATCGATTAACCAATCAGGTGATAAATTACCTAATCGAAAAACCCCACACCTCTAATTGTGCTCACTTTTCCTTCCGAGTCACTCCGAAACACTTCAGTTTTAGTGTGTTGTCACTTCCCTCGAAAATTAGCAAACGGCAGCACTGGTATGTAAATTCCCCATAGATTTTTTGGGGAATGATGCTGAAGTCACAGAAGTATTAAGAATATTTATTTTATTAATACCCATTTTTTTTATTTTACTGTGTCGAAGTGGTTGCACAAATATTTGTAATTTAAAATTTAAGTTAATTGTGAAATATTTTAAATTCACAAATTAAATTATGGGAGGATTCACATGAAATTGGCGGTAGGGTAGATATATTTACTTTAAATAAATTGCGGATCTGTGAAAATATCTTTTCCCCGAAATTTGCATACAGGTTCGAAATTATGTGAGTAACATTCAAATATCGTCGCTTGGATGAAAAATTGTCGTAGATGTAGTTATATTCAACAATTTTATTGAGCTTGAGGCCATTTTTTAATGAAAATTTTTGTGAAAAAAACGCAATTTACAATTTTGGTAGAAGTTATAGCTATTTCGGAGACCACCACATCTCCTCATCAGACTTCTTCAACTGGGATTCGATCCAACGACCCCAGCCGCCATAGCCCACAGCCTACCCACTGAGCTAAGTTCGCCATGTTAACTGTTGTTGCTTTTTCCACTTGTTCATATGTTAAGCCAACTACAATCAAGCACAGCTATTCCAGTGCTACACATTTAAACTTGATCATGTGGTTGTTGTTTTTTTGGTTTTTGCTAATAATTCTTTTTAGGGGTGGTCGTCTTTAAGTTATTTATTTTTCTTATTTATGGCCTTATTTATAACAATTATATCCAAAAAATTTATTGAGCTTGAGGTCGTTTTTAATAAAACAATCTAAAAATAGTATTATTAGCAAAAACCAAAAAAAAAAACAACAACCACATGATAAAGTTTAAATAGCACAGTCTGTACATATATCTGAAAACACCATGCTGTTCATGCAACCAGCGCTCCATTCAGCTATAATTTTTATATCTGCGTGAACGCTAAGAGTCACAACAACAGAAACGCTTGGT